GTTTTCATTTGTATCCTTCTTTATGTCGGCAAAATACAGTATAATGAAGTCAGTCCCATTCCCCATAGTTTTTAACAGATTCTACAATGGAATCCTGTATCAATAAAGAGTGCTGTATCAGTGGAGGTATCATGCAGTAGACATTTAGACATGCTGTAGTTTCTTTTGGTTACTTGTTTTACATTATCACTATCACCTGGATGTCTTGAATCAAGGCTATTTTGATGAACTAAAGGGCCATCAAGGGGTTAGTAATGCATTCAGTGTGCAGTTTAATATTCTGTCTACATCAAGGCAAAAAACTAAATTTTCAGAGATGAAATGGCCACATTGTTGGTTGCAAAATCATCCCTGGCTGTTACTGGGCCTCATCTGCATAGCCTTCATCATCAGATGCACTGAATATTCTGCATCATAATAGTGAGTGATGTATTCTGAAAGGGCTTGTTAAGAAAAAGACCCCTTTTGTTGTGTAAATACTGATGCTAGTGAGGAGTTCAGCTCTTCCTCCTGTTTTACATAAAGTTGACTTTGAATCAGATCTCTATTAATTCAATTAAATCAATTAATAAGAACCATTCTGACCAAATATGGGCCATTTCCTGGAACCACTCACTTCATGAGGTTGGTTGAAACAATTTACACAGAGCAATTGTAAGCAGATGTTTATAAGTCATTAAATTGAAGAACTTGACACTTTCACCCCAAGCAATTCAGATGACAATGACACATACTGCCATTTAAAAAGGCTTTAAAGAGACTTTGCTACAAAGATCTAACTTATACTGTTTTAAACTATGAAATCTAAATAAATATATTAATATTAAAATAAATTACTTGTGTAAACAAACAACATTGTAAAATGAGTTTACCACTTTGTACACAGCCGTGGAGGACAAACAGCCATATATTAGGAGGGAAAACACTGTTTATGCTGTGCAAAATTAATGTGAGCAGCGATGTTTTGTTTGGACTGTGTGCAAGTATACTGTGTGCAGACCGTGCAGTTTTCCCAAGCATAAAAGGCTAATTCT